CCCCAAAACCCCAAAACCCCAAAACCCCTTCGGTAGCAATACGTGTTGAAATGTGGCCTAATTCTCACGTCTATGAGCCTGTTTAGTCCTCTTTAAATTTTTGGGTACTTTCAAGTGCCTCAGACTCTTTCTCACAACACTGTTCAAGAATGTTCATGAAGCCCTTCTTGGTAGAATTTTTAGTTTGTTCCTAGAAATGAAGAAAATCTGTACCTCTGATCTAGTGTAGAAGAGACCTAAGAATCAGAGCGTGTTTGGTCTGTAAGGAGGCAGATCTTTGTCCTTTCTAAATAATCAGACTAGATTTGAACCTGAGATCTGTATGAGCAAATGTATTCCTGACTATCACCAGCATGTACGTCTTTGTTATCACAACATTTGTACCATGCTGAAGCTTCTTCTTTTTTATTCCAAGATTATCAAGAATATCTACATTAGTGTTAATTTTGAATAGTTGGTGAGTCTTACTTTTGTAGATTTTTAACAGCTGGTTTGACATCTGAAACTGGGATGCACCAAAGCCTGACAGCTGTTTACTGAAGTCCTTTCTAATAGTTAACATTAGTGATATTAGCTAATCACTGAAAGTTGCCAGATTTTGACCAGAAAAATCTTACTTGAAATACTGCAGCTGATGTTTGAAATCAAAGCCTGGTATTTTCTCCTCGGTTTCGGGATTTCCACATCCCTTATGCTCAAGTATTTTATTTGTGCAGATGACATCCATACACTTCGTCAAAGGACTCTAATGGTATAACCTGGATGTGCTTATGAGGTTGAGATGCTCCTGCTGACTGTCCACCATTAAAGAAAACAATAGGATTTTCTATTATCTTCATTGTTAAAATAACTCCTTCCATGTCATAAAAGTCTAGCGGATTACTTTGCGTCTCAAAATGTGATGCTTTTGCAACGATCATCAACTGCTTAGGTATAACAGGGTATCTATTTAGCAGCAGCTTGTGCTTCTCATTGAGATTATGGGTGATCACAAGATTCTCCTTCAACTTACCCATAAAAGGGTTAGTTTTCTCTGAAAAATTCTTTCTGAACCCATATGTAGCATTGGGGCTCATTTTTACAAGCTCAATTGCTTCTCAAATTGTAAATTTCATTCCTTTTTCACTAATCAATGTCTTCTTAGTGTTGAGAGGCCGGAGATCTTTATTTCGCCAAGGTTGTGATTGCTGATCGATTCTATCACGGAGAGAGTTGATCTCACTCTGTTTGTACTCTACATATCAAACATATCACTGCCAAATTGGATGAGACTTACTTGTAAGACAAGGCTTGCCAAAATTCTTGTATTTCATCCACAAATAAGCTAACAGAATTAAACCAAGGATGTAGATTGGTTCTATTATGTAAATTAAAACATGATCAAATAATATTCAAAGAAAACCTGTGGCGCCACTACTAACAAATGTAGATAAGGTCAAACATTTAAAGAGCTTTGTGGCTTAAAACTCGTGCTAACTTACTTGTAAGGAAGTCCATAATTGATTTTACCCTGGAGAAGTTTATAAATTTGTTATAAATATTGTTTCATTTAGCCAGATTTCCTAGGGGTTTTGGGGTTTTGGGGTTTTGGGGTTTTGGAG